TTTGTACATGATGAGAGCTCTTCCAGTGGTTAAAAAATAGATGTTGAATAACAGGAAGAGATAACTGATCCTTGCTGAATAATATGGGGGAGAGGAATAGTTGCCCATAATGATCCTCTGGTTCAGTTTGAGAGAAAGAACCTGAACCATTTAAGGGCATTCACCTTTGAGGTTTCTTTTCGGGATGGGCATATTTGGTATCCAGTGTCATAGGTACATCATGAAGAGTACAGATGTATTTTCTTTGTCTCTTGGCAGCAAGAGATCTTCTCCCTACTTTACAGAAGCCCTTAGCACATGGCCAGGGAGCCACGACTGACTCAGCTGCACGCAGCAGAATCCTAATCTGCTTCCAAAGAGTTCCAGATGTGACTTGCATCTGAAGAAGTGAGGTTCTTACCCACGAAAGCTTATGCTCCCAATACTTCTGTTAGTCTTAAAGTGCCACAGGACCCTCTGTTGCTTTTTACAGATTCAGACTAACATGGCTACCCCTCTGATACCAGATGTGAATAGAATCACTGTAAAATGGCTCAAGCCCTCTGTGGTGTGGAAGCTGGGTGCTCCTGAAAATCTGACCCTGTATATTCTTTAAAAAGTAATGAAAATGCTGACAGCCAAATACTATTGTGGTAATGTATAGTATTATGAGCAAGTTACTGCCATTTGTATTACCACCTAGAATTTTTAGAAGTATTAGTGCCCAATTCTGCTTTTATTGAAATCAGTGGGATTTTGATATTGACTTCAGTAGGAACAGGATTGGGTCCTAAAACAGTAAATTTCAGATTACAATGGTATTGTTATTCAGTAATTCCTAAATTCAGTCATTCTGGCCTTAGAAATTTTATAAAATTATCATGCAAATGATTTCAACTAAAATCAGCATATTTACCATATTTCCACTCTCATCATGTACAAAATTTTGTTTAGATAAATAATAAGACAGATAAGTTATTGCTCCAGATGGTGGTGGGTGGATTGGACCTAATAGATTCTCCAGTTAATTGATTTTTTAAATTTTATTTTACAGTAGCCTAGATTTAGAAGCCCACTTGAAGATCTCCTCTTGAGTGCAGCTTAGGCTGCATCTGGTTACTCACCACAATAATATGCTTTCCAATCAAAGATCAAAAAATTAAAATGCAGGCAACTTAGTGGTGCAGCTAACTAATGTTACACAAGTGTACTGATCCTACTCCCCATAGATGATACATACATTTGACGCTCAGCTCTTGCAGTTGGGCTGGAATGCAAAATTAGAAGCAGCAGGCCTCAAGGTCTGGAAGTACAGACAGTGTAAAGAAACAAAAATCTATGGCTATTAGTAAATGACAGTTGGCAATTTGCAGGCAAAAATTACAAGAATTGAAGAAGAAAATGGGTAACACAACACATATCAAATGGGTATTAATGCTATTATCTCACTGTATCTGAACATATTCCTAAACTACAAAGTGGTACGTAACCTTGTGTAACCTATCACTTAAATCACCTTCTGTACCAAGTCACTGCAGGACAAGTAATGTGACACCAATTTTTAAAAAGGTTCCAGAGGCGATCCTGGCAATTACAGGCCAGTAAGCCTAAGTTCAGTACCAAGCAAATTGGTTGAAACTACAGTAAAGAACAGAATTATTAGACACATAGATGAACATGGTTGTTGGAGGAAGAGTCAACATGGCTTTTGTAAAGGGAAATCATGCCTCATCATTCTATTCAAATTCTTTGAGGTCAACAAACATGGACAAGGATGATCCAGTGGATATAGTGTTCTTGGACTTTCAGAAAGCCTTTGACAAGGTTCCTCATCAAAGGCTCTTAAGGCAAATAAGCAGTCATGGGATAAGAGGGAATGTCCTCTCTTGGATCAATAACTGGTTAAAAGGCAAGAAACAAAGGGAAGGAATAAAATGGTCAGTTTTCAGAATGAAGAGAGGTAAATAGTGGCGTTCCCCAGGTGTCCCCCAGTACTGGGACCAGTGCTGTTCAACATATTCATAAATGATCTGGGAAAAGAGGTAAACAGTGAGGTGGCAAAATTTTCAGATGATACAAAATTACTCAAGATAGTTAAGTCCAAAACAGACTGCAAAGAGTTACAAAGGGATCTTACAAACCTGGTTGATTGGGCAACAAAATGGCAGATGAAATTCACTGTTGATAAAGGCAAAATAATTTGAAATATGTTGAAAAACATAATCCCAATTATAGATACAACATGATGAGGTCAAAAGTAGCTGTTACCACTCAAGAAAGAGATCTTGGAGTCATTGTGGATAGTTTTCTAAAAATATCTGCTCACTGTGCAATGGCAGTCAAAAAAGCTAAGAGAATGTTAGGAACCATTAGGAAAGCGATAGATAATAAGACAGAAAATATCATAATGCCACCATATAAACCCCTGGTACTCCCACACCTGGAATAGTTTGTATTTCTGATAGCCCCATCTCAAAAAAGATATATTGGAAATGGAAACGGGCAACAAAAATGAATGAACTGGCTTCCATGTGAGGAGAGACTAAAAAGCCTGGGACTGTTCAATTTGAAAAAGACGAGCAGATATGATTGAGGACTATAAAATCATGAATGGTGTGGAGAAAGTGCATAAAGAAGTGTTATTTACCCCTTCACATAACACAAGAACCAGGGGTTACTCAATGAAATTAATAGGCAGCAGGTTTAAAACAAACAGAAGGAAGTACTTCTCCACAGAATGCACAGTCAATCTGTGGAACTCATTGCCTGGGGATGTTGTGAAGGCCAAAACTATAACTGGGTTCAAAAAAGAATTAGATAAGTTCATGGAGGATAGGTCCATCAATGGCTATTGGCCAAGATGATCAGGGATGCAACCCAGTGCTCTGGGTGTCCCTAGGCCTCAGACTGCCAGATGCTTGGGCTGGACGACAGTTAGTTAATTGCCCTGTTCTGTTCATTCTCTTTGAAGCATCTGGCATTGACCGCTGTCAGAAGACAGGATACTGGGCTAGATGGATCATTGGTCTGACCCAGTATGGTCATTCTTATGTTCTTAAAGTATATCTCATGTTTATATTCAGGTTTGCACATGTGTGTAAAGAAAAAAAACTTTTGAGTATTAGCAACAAATACATTCTAGTTAGCTACGAATTCGCTATGATGATGGGTGCTACACTAATGTATAAAATAAATAATACTGCATTGTTGAGTAATAAACTGTACTTAGAAATAAGATGTGGCAGCATTCATTGTTAGAAGGGCAAATTTCTGCAGAAAAATCTTTAGTGAAAAATGGAAAACTTAATTTTCCCCTCTATTTTCAGTGGTTAGGTAGTTGATAATTTATGATTGCTATGTTTGCAGGTAGCATTGTATGCTGGGCTTCATAAACTCTGAGGCTAAAGACCAATAGCCCAAAATATGGAAAACTTCCTTACTTTTTACCTCATTTACTTTATAACTCATTATCTTAATTACTATTATTCTGAATTTGGTACTGTTTGCCATTGGAGCTGCTGTTGCAAAAGCTGTGGAAGAGGGAGAATAGAAAACTTTTAAAATAAACAGAAAAAATGTGTGTGAGGAGAATGTTTACTTGGAAAGGTGAGAAAAAACTATGTTTCATGTGCTTCAATGCAGGTAAAGTTCAAAAGTCTAAAGCCAATGAACTATTCTCCAACTCAGACCCTCTCGAACAATCAGTGTGAGGATTTTCATAAATAAGAAGTAAGTATACACTTCATTGTGATTGGCTGAGACAGTTACAGTAGAATATGTTATAAGCAACGAATAAAGGCCATATTCAGGAGTGGTGTGAGCTACAAGTCAGTGAGGTCACTCAGGATTACATCAAAGCTAAATTTGCCTGTAAGTGTGCACTGAAATGAATGACATAAAATCAAACCCCTTTAACCATGTGGTACATACATTTATTAGACAATATCCCCTCACATCGGAATATTTTATGGCAAGGTAAGTAGGGTAATTATAGTTAAATTAATCTTAAAAATATAAAATAAGGAATTTTATTTTAATAGATCATGTTGACACCTTGCTTCACTATCCAATCTGCCACCAGCACTCATTGATATCAATGGACTTATGCATGGAGTAAGCATGGTATACTACTCATAGGTGAACTTCACCCCCAGGCAGAGGATCAGTACTAGGCCTATTCATCACTAAAGACCTACAAAAGACCCCAAAGTAGGGTGCATAATCCTGGTGCTATGAAGTTATTTATATGCTTGTGATAGCTCTCTCCCAGTGGTGAATTTCACCCCATGCAAATAAGGGTGGCAGAATTGGGCCCTTAGTAACAGTTTACCCAAATTCATCTTCTTCCCCAACTTCTTACAGTTACAGTTCCTTAATTATTCCATATGTCCTCCTCTGGCTTGCTCACTGCTCCTACTAAGTGAGTTTCATTAAAAGATTAATGAGTTATTATAACCTAAACAAATACATTCCACTTTGTTTATTGCCTACTTTCAAACTGCAATGGATGGTGCTAGTTGTTAATTTGTTAAATGCTTATATAAAAAATCACAGATGTTGCTAATATCACATCTCAATATTTATGAAAAAACAGTTTTCTGTAAATATAGAAAAATCAGTAATTACCAATGGAATTATTTGGTAAAATTCCCAGATAAATAATTATCAGAAAAGCTAACTTAATCTATTACAATTCTAGAAAAATTAAAAAAAAAACCCTTCCTAATATTCGTAAACATGAAGCTAGCTCACTATCTCCTGTTTAAGAACACATTTTCCCACTCTTTTTTCAAAATAGTCTCCATGGTTAAAGTAGACAGGGATGCAGCTAAAGTAGTATTTACAGTTGCATTACTTCATTATCACACTCCTGACCCTAAATCCAGATGTATTCTTTGCAAAATTAGAATGTTCTGGAGAGAACAACATTGGTGTTTGCTACACAGAAGAGCAGCTAGGGAGGAAAAATGTATACTTTATTTAGAGGTGGAAAACTTTGGTTTATATTTTTAAATGCACATTTAACTCCTTAAATGCACATCATGAGCCAAAGTTCTCTCTCAGTTACACCAATCCAAACTGCCTGTAGCCAGTATGGTTGCACAGGTAAAACCAACAGAAGAATTTGTCCCAATATTTATTACAAGGACAAATGGGCAGAAATATAGTCCCCAAATGAATTTGCATTATACATCTTGTTAAAACTCTGATGATTTTGGCAATGATCATAGCCTCTTGATGTTGTGTGTCCCTACAGACTTATTTTGTGTTAGAACCTTGTTGGGAAATCCTAAATCCAGGCAAAAGGGGGTAAAAATACTTCTTGGAGTTCTGTCTGTCTTTCTCAGGGTTTTGCACTGGCACCTACCACCATAGTATGTGAGTGAAGGATCTGTTGATAGAAAGTGTGACAACTGAAGGGTTTGAATGTTTGCTCTGATTAGAATTCTTTTATACATATGGGAACAATGGCTGTAGAATTTGTTGAGTTACTTTTATAAAATGATAGAAAGCTACCAGAAGAGGATATGAAAAACTATCAGTTTCTCCAGTGAAGAGAGAATAGCATGAGTTTTGTACTTACTTTTCCCCCTATTGTATATAGAAAAGTGTAATGGACATGTCATATAAATGCACACCTACATCCCATATTTCCTTCAGATACCTGGGTTATCTACCACCATGGAAAAGACCCCACACTGCCATCTAGAAATCATCTTTCATTTGAATGAGGTAATTGTGTCTAGTGTTTGCCATTTTTTGCACAAACAATACTGGTCTGGTTCCTGTCCTTTTCCTGTCATCTTAGTAATAATTAAATAATATTTCAGCACCAACGAAATATGCTAGCACGGCAGCTCTGCAAAAAAAGTTTAGGTGGAAATACCATATATTACCGTTAATCAGAGGTGGAGGAACATTTGCTTTGAAGGGGTGGTTGATCATAAACTTTTTGCCCGAGTCATTATCAATGTCACTGTGGATTGACCCACATAGGGTATTGCCAGAACATTACAGCTAACACCTCTTTTCCTCCTCTAGACTAATATCACTTCAGAAACAAATACACAGGAACTGCCATACTGGAACTGACCAGTGATCCATCTAGTCCTTGTTGCCATGGCAGCCTATACAACATGTTTCCAGGGAAAATAGTAAAATAAATCCCCAAACAAAACATAATATATCCGGGCAAAATTACACAGTACTATGCCATGGAATGATTTTATTCTCTAACCTCAGCCAATATCAGCATATGTACATGAAACCTACTAGCTGAGGATTAAACCTACTAGTAGAGATAGATCTGAAATGAAAGAATGAAGGAGGGAGCCACCAGCATTCTTCAACAAGAAACCCAGACTATAAGAGAGGGAAATGGAAGGGCGCTGGGAGTTTACAAGGAGCTACAGGTTAGTTATAGATTTGTCTAATAGTCCTTCCTTTTACCGATTCTACAGGCCATAGTGTGGCTGACCCTGGTGGAGCTCATTGGGAGAAGACAGAAAAAGACACCTCCCTCTCTGCAATGTCAAGGACTGCTTCAGATTAATGTTATCACTGATACTAGCAACCCAAAAGGAGGATGGGAGAAACAGGATGAAGGTGGGACCATGATCTTGTCCTTTGCTCTGCCCCAATCAGCAGAGCAGAACTGGCACAAAGGGAGTGCAGGTTGCACCTCTCCAAAGAGTACCGGGAGCTGCCACTCCACTGTATTATCCGCAATAGAAATTTTGATTGAGTCAGTCAGAATTCCTGCAGGAGCTGCAGTGCAGACTTTCTACCCAACTTCCAGAGATTTAAAGCTACGGTATAGGCCTGTATTTGCTACTTTTTAATGTCAGTTGTCACATATTCCTGTCTGATGGAATAGCATCTGACTGGCCATCTCTACACTATCTATTGATAGCTATTCACTATCTAATGTACTCCCATCATATTTTCTTTTAACTTTTGCCTTTCAAAATTATATAATTCTAGTCATTTTAATTTTTCCTCTTTTGGAAGTATCCATGTCTTTAATTAGTTTTGTTGACTTATCTGGACTTTTTTTAATCTCTTCTATATCCCTTTAGAGAAGAGGTAACCAAATTGAACACATTATTAAAATCAAGAGTATACCACTGAATTAATAAGCAGAATATCATTTCCATATTAGTCTCTATCCCCTTCTTAACACAGTCTAACAGCTTCTTTTTTTTACTCCTACTATGCATTAAGAAATAGAAATCTAGAATAGTTCCTAGATATTTTCCCTAAGAAGTTACACATAATCTAGCAACCTCAGGTGTGTCCAAAAACTTTAAATTGTTTCTTTCAATGATTAAAGGGCAATGACACACTATGTGAATTACCTTCCACTAGTCTAGAGTAAATTTCATCTGAAATATTTCTTATTTTTCTACTTTTTATGGTACTTCTTTTTTCTCCTCCCTGTGCTCCCTAGCTGACTAACCTAAATAATTTGCATGTCTGTTCCCCACCAAATGTTGACAACCTTGCTATTCACCTGTCTTCCAAATCATTATATATATTGAACTCCATTCCTACCATTATTAATCACTTCCCATGCTGAAAATTGCCATTTATTCCAATCCTTTGTTTCCCATATCTTAACCAGCATTTAGTCTTTCAGGACTTTTTGTCTCTTATGCCATCATTACCAAGGATCCAATCCTGCTCCCACGAAAGTCAATATCAGACTCATTTTGAGTTCAGTGGAACAGACTCAGGCCCTAAGTTTCATCTTCTGAATTATTTTATAAAAAGACTTGACAGTCTAAAGTTATATACATCGGTTCCATATTGTGTTAACTCAACGAATTCTAACAGGCTAGAGAAATATAATTAACCCTTGCAGAAGCCTTGCTGATTTATATCAATCGTGTTATGCTCATCTAAGGACTTAACAACTCTGTAATGATTTTCTTACTGTTTCTTTTCTGGTATTGAAATACAGCTCACATGTCTATCATTTCTATGAACATCCTTGCCGCTTTTTTATAGATTTTTGGCCACCCCCTAGTATCATAGCTGTTTTAATGGCAAATGATAAATGTTAATATTTTAATTACTTCATTCTTTAATTCTTCAGAACTCTTGGATTTGTACCAGTCCTGGTGATTTACTACAATTTATCTTGAGTTGTCCCATCACCTCTTCTAATTATACCTCTATTTCTATCAGTGCCTCAGTTTCATTACCTATAAAGTGTAATCCGGGGATAAGTACTTCCTCATCATTTACAGTGGGGAAGCCTTTGAATGAAATAATTTATTTTCAGTGAAACTTCTCATGCTCTTTGATTGCTCTTGCAGTCTGGCAAAACCAGTGGCCCTACCACAGGCTTGCTGCTCCTAATGTATTTAAATAATTGTTTAATTGTCAATTCAGGCCTAGAGAATACAAGTCACTTCTAAAAGTTTGATTTTCCACATACCACACTAAAATGGCTGTTTTACCAAAAGAGCAGCTTATAATTAAGTATCAGCTACTTAAGTTCTGTGTCTGACTTGAGTTTAGACCTTACACGATTTCACAGGCAATGTTGTGACAAGGTTTTTGGCTAGCAGACATTGAGATTAACCACAACGCATATTTGACCATGTTAGAAATTGTAGTCTGCAGTGAGAGTGATTCAAGTATAAGCGGCCATATTCTCTGATTTTATTTTATTTTTAAAGGAAGCCACGGCGTAATAGCATTGGTAGTCTGCTGCTAAATCAAAGAGTTTTGGGGAACAACAATTTACAAAACTTTCAGACAGTGAATTTATTGGTAAAATTCTTTCCTGACATTTCCCAATGGAGCTCATTTACAACCTCTCAAGTGAAAATAGTTGAATTAATTTCAGCCTAGTTTCAAATAGGTCATTTAATAAAAATGACCAAAGTTCATATTGTACATTTATGGCTGGAAAAAAGTCTTTGCTTAAGGTGAACTCTGCTATAGAGTAGATTTATTAACTAAAATTTCCACTAAAGATAGTCCCTTAAATTGATATGTATTCACAGGTACAAGTTAGTGGTTCAAATCTTATATTAAATTTAGGGGACTGTCTTTAGTCCTTATACATATATATCTCCAAATGGCAAGTTACTCAATTTACAAAACTTTGGATTAGGTGTTGAGAACCCTGTACTAATAGACATAAAACTCACACTGAAATGAATGTGTAGGAAGTAGCCATTCATCAGACAAAGAAATAGTGACCTTTAACAAGGTCCCTTATATGTACAAGAATGCCCAACATCATGAATTGTGGCAAGTGTTCCTTGCCTATCTGGATATTTTACCTCAGTGTACCTGTTTAAAAGTGGTCTTTTAAAAGTAGATGCTGATCTACTTAAATAGGGTAAAAAGTATTAGGTGAAAAGGGTGCAAGATCAGGTTCACTCTTGGCAGTAGAGAGTAGCACAAACTGCACAGGCATGTACCAACCTGGCCAAACTGCCCTCGTTCAGGGACTTCACCAGTCAGAGGCAGCTTTATCTTCTTCTGGCAGATCCCTACGAGATTTGCAGAATCAATACATCCCTCAGCCACACTAGTTGTTCTGTCAATGCTGCCCATTTTGAGAGCTGTGTTGGCCTGGAAGCTACTCAGGAATGAAGTTTCTGTGGTGCCTTGTGCCACCGCATCCAACTTTCTGCTTCCAGGGGCTCTCCACCTAGGTAAATCTTGGCTGTAGAATCAGGAGTTTCAGTGTTCTCTTGATGTTTCCTTCTTTCCTGTTTCCTAATCTTTCTCCATATCTACCTCCTCAATTTTCTCTTCACCATTTGTGCTGCTTCCTCTACCAGCTAGCTCTTCTTTTTGTCTTCTGGCTGTGCCAACTCTCATCAGCTGCCTCCTGCACTTTGGTGTAGGCTTAGTGCCCAAAGAACAGTGGAGAATCAAGTCCACTTTCTCCAATTTAATATTCCAAGCAAAGTTCCAAAATTTTGCATAAATTAAACTGGCAACTTATTTTTGGAACACTGCTTCTACAAGACATTTGCTGGAGAAAAATGGGGACCAAGAACTGTGTTACAGACTTGGACTTTCATGCCAGATGTTGGCTCTTTATTGGGGTGATTAATTTTTATAAGGTCGGTGTGTGTCTGACTGTGTTGTATATTGTATGTATAAATATGTATAAAATGGAGATATCAGTAGTGACTTTTGTTCAGATAAAGTTACACATACAGGAAGACTAAAATTCTTGTTTCATACTGAAGTGATTTAATTTGGTTTCTAAATTTGGCACACCATTCAAAGAACAACAGTATTTTGTATTTAATCTTAAAATAAAATAGTTTCTAATTTTACAGAGGAAACATTTACAGATGCTTTCTTTTCGAAAATTTGCTCTGTTTTTCCTCACACTTCTTTGTATAATTCTAGCTAAACAAACACAGTTACCACAAACTCCAAAATATCACACACACAAACACACACACAACATCTTAAATATACGCTACTTTTGACATTTTAATTTTAATGACATAGGTTTTCATGAATAAAGAGAATGTCTAATTGAGCTACATAAAAAATAATCATCTGAACTCTTTAGTTCTATCAGCTATGTCCATTTTCTGACACTACCTGTACGCCTTCCTGATTCCTCAGCTCCACTACTCACAGAGACCATTAGCAGACCAGGAAGCAAGCTGGGCAGCAGAGATATAGGGAGTGGGTAAGAGGAATGGGGAGCTGTGAAGGGCTGAGTAAAGATGTGGTTGTGAGGATAAGGTGAATGAGGAAGGATATGAGGAGTTGAGTGGAGCGTTCGAGAAATGAGGAAGCATTTAGTAGGACTATGAACTACTGCACAGGTGTACTCTGGGATAAATTACAGGCAACCTTTAACATCACTCTCTTGATTACATTGTTTCACCTTTATGTGGTTCTTACATGTGTTATATTTTGGTAGTTCATTAGGGTATAGCACTACCAACATATATTTTCCAAACTCTTTTGTTCAGCTTTAATACTAACTGCTATAAAAATAAAGAGAAAAGTATTGAAATGACGCTGCACACTTTTAGATTACCATAAAGTGTCCCACAAGATGAAAATAATTGAAAATACATGGTAACAATGTCACCCTCTCTTTTAACATACAAACAATTTTTTCTTTAATGTATTTCTTGTATATTAGTATTCATAACCAAAACTGCAGTGATCAAATTATAAGATCAGAAAATGACTCCATGAATAGATAAATGAGGATACAGACTGGTCTATTGAACCCAATAAACCTTAATTTTTAAGCCCCTGATCCTGTAATCAGATCCATTAGTGCAGACCCTTAGCCTGTTTGGAGCTCCATTATTCCGCTAAGGCATATCTTCCTGTAGGGTCAGGATCTAAGGATCTAACTAAAGCCAACATATTTTCGTTTTTGAATGAAGGTTGGTTTTATGTTCCCAAGTGGGAAAAGTATAAAAGAAAATATGGGAAAATGCATACAGAAGGCAAGACTTGATTTCAGTTATTCAGTAACTCCATTGCAGTCAGTGCAGTTACTCCAGATTTACACTATCAGAATCTTGCCCCAGAATCTTTTGTCCCTGTAGATTTCTGTACAAAGTATATTCTGTACATTGGGGCATATCTTACAATCAATTTGTAGGCAGAATTTCTTATTTAAATGGGGAGTTCTGCTTAAAATCTGATGGTACTTATTGGCCCATTATTTGTTAGCTTATTTTTTATCAGTTTCTAAATCTGGGAAGATTTTAGGAACCATATTTTTGGCCAGGAATAACGCAAACCAAGAAAAATAATACTGATAATTTATTATTATTATTTTGTTCTCCAGTTTTTAATCAGGCAACAATTTCAGCAAAGTGGATTGACAGAGAACACAAGGAAACCAATCATAACACTCATTTACACAGTTTAAAAAGATATTACACTAGTAATATTAGTTCTACACATTCATAAGTGATTGTGGATACCAACCATTAAAGTTTATATTAATTATTGTCAGCCATTTGGCATATTTCTCAATTTAATACTTTTATGTAATGCCTAGGCATCATTTCACTGTTCTCATAAAGTGCAGCTTGGGCTTAATGAAAAAGAATGTATGACAATAACAGTAACAATGTGAAAAGTAGCAGAAGTAGGATGTTCGCTGGACTGTGTATTCAAATACTTCACTGTGTGTTGTCCCACTCTGGACCTAAAATGGCTGTTTTGCAGGATGTTGTTGCTTGGTGACCAAAAGTGCATCTCCTAGACCACAGAGGGATGTGAACATTCAGAGATTGATTTGTTCCTGTTGCTCTTGAGGAGACCAGGCCAGTAAAATAGAAGAAGCCTACATGTAACTATCTAAATATCCCACTTGCTTGCATATTTAAATTGATATTTAAAACAGGCTTGTGATTTTGGGATGCTCACCAAACAAGCAATGGGAAAAATGGAACAAAACCTAGCATGTCACTGCCCATGAAATACAAAAAGTAGACCAAGCCTCAGCTACTCTAAGCCTGCAAGATACCCTTGCTTCAATTAAGTCTGCGTTGTATGTCTAGTCTGTTCCGGTGCAACCTCCCAGTTGCTATCAGTCTCTCTTTCTTTCATTAGAATCAAGTAGTTAATTAGCCCCAGTCTGTCCTCTCCCCTTCTCTCTTTCCCTTTAACGCAGCAGTAATGATGTCTAATTACCAGCAGCAGTGGATTACAGCACCATCAGGAGCAAATCTCTGTAGCTGACAGCAACAAACCTTAGAGCTTCAAGGAGAGAATAATTCCTAACAACGTAGTTGCATATTATTTGCTTATTTTTTAATTTTGAAGTTAAAATTGTAACTTAATCTAAGTAATGCAGAGAGAGTGCTTGTGCTGGCCAGAATTACCATTGATGATTAATTGTACATTAATTACTTCTACCTCTTGAGAGATCAAGTGATGGAGAAAGTTTTTACTCTTTTAGGCTTTGATACTGTTTGTGGCTGTTTCTGTGGGCAGGAGGAGCTCAGATTTCTGTGACAACAGCAAGACAAAAATGGCATAAGTAAAAACTAAACAATAGGGCTAGTTCTGAATTATCAGAAATGAATAAACTCTTCAATAGTTAGTGTGGATTTCACTAAATGAATGAAAGAGTGGGCTTTTGAGAGCTAAACAACACTAACTTGTAAGGGTGCCATCTGAAAACATCAGCTTACTCCTATATAAAACATAATTTTGAGTTATAGAGAGAAATCCTAGCACCATTTAAATCAATGGGAGTTTTGTCATTAACTTTAATGGGTCCAGGATTTCATCCATAATATATAAAACAATTCCTTTTGGAGCATTTGGTACTCTTTGGCATATAGTAACATATCAGACAAATAGATGCCACTCTACAGATCTGCTTAAACTATGCTACTTCCATTTGTGAATGGAGTATGAAATTGATTGCATGTGTTTAAGTGGGGGATGACATTTGTTTTTAGTAACTGATAAGTCGTATCTGAATGCTGTGCATACTCTTTTCTTGTTTATTCTGTGAAACAAATTTTGGAAACCAAACACTCAGGCAAATGGAAGTCAGTGGACGTATTACCTGAGCAAAGACTGCAGGATCTGTTACTTAATATTTTATGTTTAATAATTCAATGTAATGCAGAAATACTTCAAGTTTTTATGGCTGTATTATGGTATCTCTGTTGTCCTACTTTTGTTATGGTGCCTGGTTGGTTGTTATAATATTTATCTGTCTATTGAGAGAGAGATACACAAATATTCATAGGATTCCCAATGCAAGCAGAAGAATTAAGACCAACATTTAAGTAAACACATCAAGAAAGGTTCTAGACACAGGGACCAGAAAAAATCAAGAACAACAAAAAGCGGGGAGGAAATCCAAACCCTCCTGGCCTAGTAAAGATGCCAGACAATGTACAAGTTGGTGACATAAAGAAGTGTTGTTTTTTGAAAGGCCCAGAATAGCTCTACCTTTTACTAAATCTTGAAAAAAATAAAGTTAGCCTTTTTATTCAGACGGTTCATTAATTTAATTTTGCCCCAAAATAAGGAATTTGCTTGCAGTTCTGAACTTGTGATGAAAAGTAAACCCATAAGAAATAAAAGATCTTTCATGCAAGACACTTAAAAAAACACTGCTCCAATTAGTGGAAGAATAAAATAAATCATCCTAGAAATATACTTCTATTTGAGATAATTTTTCCTTTGTTCTATGCTTGATTTTCAATTTCCATCCCAAAATCTATTTGATCTACAAAAAATCTCAGGATCAAATATTAATAATCTGCTGTTTAACTCTAGAAAAGTAACGTGCCATTCTCCATGTAAAGCCTGGACCTATAGGCAGACCTAGAACCCTTTGTGAATAGAAGAGGTAAGGAGGGAACATAAACATTGCTCAGAACATTCTCTATGGCTTGCCTTTTAACTCCTTTACAAAATTAATTCCACATCTATACTACCTGACAACAGTTACTTTGATGATTAGAAAGAGGACAAATATAAACTAGCACCCCAAATGCCTTGATTTATTAATACTTTGAAGAAGATACTTCTACAGAATCTCCAGATTTTCCCCAGCAACACATGTTGTAATTAAACCTAGAATACTTTTCAAGAAGCCTTCTGTATTATGCCATCCAGGAGCATATTCATTAGACCAGGATGAGATTTCAGTGCAAAAGAAAATATTGTTTATCAAACCAAAATGCCAAAGCAGAAATAAAAGATTGCTGTGTTTCCAGCTTTAGATCCCCAAATAAGGAATCTAGAGTCCCTGAGGGAGTTTAGCGGGGGGAAATGATATATTAAAGAGTTCAATATGCAAACCTACTTGTAACCAATAGTTCCCATCTTCTTAAATAGGAAATTCTGTAGCTCTTGCCACCACCAAGCATAATAGTTCCGCTGCTGTTAGAACTGCGTCTAGCTATTCAGATTCAGATCCTGGGAAGGCTGGTGCTACTACTGGATGGCATCAATTGAGTTTAAGCTTTATAGCTGTGAGACTTGAGCAATCCCAGAAAGAGAAACAAAATCTACCATTTGGTCATGTGGAAACCTCTCTCTCTTTGTTGATCATCCTCTCCTCGCCTCCTTTAATAAAATAGCAACGCTCCAGAGTCATCAAGGCATATCCCTGCTGCTCGGTGTCTCAGGGGCTGTGGTCTAACAATAAAAAAACCCGATATCCCGGGGAAGCCCCCAAATAAACGACCGGCGCCACATTTGGCTTTGTGCCAGTAAGGATACACCGTGCTCTATCGATCGCAATAGTATATTATGAAAATGTACCGCTGTAATCGTAATTGTGTGGCCTTTATACAATGGCAAGACACGCGACAGACACCACACAGCTAAGGGGCCGGGACAATAGCCCCCCCCCCCCCAAATAACAGCATAGAGGAAGGGGGGGCTATTGCATGATCGCTTTAAATAAAAAGGGCCACAAAGCCCTAACCTGTGCATAATGTGACATGCAAATACAACATGGTGATGACTTAGGGGGAAAGAGAGAAACGGGCCAACTGTGGCTGTCCTCTCTCCCACTATAGGCTGCATTTGTCGACATATAACAAGGAAGACAATTCTCTACTAACCGTGGTTTTGACTGGCACGTACAGCACTTGCTTCCCTCTTCCACCAGCACCATTGACCTCGTCCGAATTGCCGAGCTGGAAGCCTTTAGATTTGACCCAGAATTTAAATTTGGCATTATCCGTGGAGCTCGATTCGGAGCCATTCAAGAGCTGGACGATCCGGTCGTATTTTTTACGGGTCACCGTCTTGGTTTTCCCCGAGTCCCCGTAAGTCCTGAGACACCAGTCTTGAAACTGGCGGTACATGTCCCGGTCGCTGCTCTCCATAATCTCCTACGAGATACCACACACACTACAAAACGGGCCGTGCCTGGATCTTCCAAACGTACTTTGCACCTGTTCACCTAGTGCTCATGAAAAATGCATCCACCACCAAGATGGAATGAGGAGGTCCCGGTGCGAGCAGATCCCAGCTGATTTTTTTGTTGTTGTTGTGGGCAGGGGGGGATGGGTAGGGGGCTAGCAATCAATTCAATAGTGTAGCAGAATGTTCATTTTTTTAACTGTGCCGGATCACAGAAGGCAAACGGGTCTCGTAGAGGCTTCTCTTATCTTTCTACGGTACGTGATCGCTCTCCAATATTGTGCAAGGCAGGACTATCCCAATGTCTCCAGTAGCGTCTATCCAGAGGGTTTTGATTTATAAATAATTAAAATCCTATCCCTTGGCTTAACAAAAAGAGAAAATAGAATATTGACTCGTATTCTTCTCTCATGCATCAGCTCCACCCGGCTGCACCGGGGATGGTGCAGGTGAAAAAACACCCTCCACCCCAGCCAGCCCTCGCTGCTTTTTCAAAGGGTTTTCTGTGTCTGTCCTGGAGGACCGTGCCTCTCCTAAAGCAGCCTCTGTGCAGGATGGAGGAAACACTGAAGGGCAAATTGGTCTCTGTTCCCTGGCTGTTTTTGCCTTAGATTTCTCTTCTCTGGGCGTTAAAGTACGGGAAAGAAAGAAAGTTCTTACCTGTTATTTTCCTTCCTAACAAATCCCATCTAATTTTTTTATATTTTTATTTTTTTAAACGGCCTGTGAAAATTTCACTTGCTCCTACTCAGTCCCATTGAATTTCAGATGCCCTAATAGGAATTCTCATTTATTTATTTAAAATCCCAGCAGATGGAGGAAAAATATGTACAAGATATGATCAGATATTAGACCAAAGGAGAGAGATCAGTCCCAGGAGGATGTTGGTAAAGAAAAGAAGACGGCTGTCGGTTGGTCTGCCAGTTTAATAATGGTGCTCACACATGTAGGACTCCTCTGGTCTGGGGTTTCCTTGCTAAACTGGCTACAAGGCATTCAAGTAAGTTTGCGTACGGATGCTTAATAGAACCCCCTTATTTTGTTAAGGGATCGATTTTTTTCTCCCTTTGGCTTTGCCACAGTTTCAAGTCACCCTTGAGATTTCTGATCTCTCTCTTTTCCCCTACCACGTAATGAAGGACACCCCCTTCTCTGGTGAAAGTAGCCAAATTGTTAGCTCCTCTTGACGATCTTCCAAGGCAAATGCAGACTGCAGCTCCTCCATTCAATATCTATTTCCAATCATTAAAAGGAACCAGGAGAAGGGGAGTTCCCATCCTCCTCTCCCAGCGTCTGCAAGATCCCCTGTCTTAGACACACACACACACACTCCCACTCTGTCTCTGTGTGCTTCAACCCGTCCTGCTCCTGTTCAGCTCCTCTGCTAAACTGGCTGCCAGACAAGTGCACACACATTCCTGGTCCGTTTCACAGTCAGCATTTCCCCATTTTTATATACGTATATATATGTATATATATATTCTCCTCTGGTCTCCAGCACAACAGCAAAGTGAAACGCCTCGGCCCCCTGGCGCACCGTGGAGCAGCCTTGTCCCAGGCAGGCACTTGCAAAATGGTCAGCCCCTCCTCCTCCTCCTTCTCCTCCCAGGCTCGCTCTGTTCAGTGGCTCTATTGGAAGGTCTCGCGGCGGCTGGAGCCGGGACTGACAGCAGCAGCACAGGCTGAGCGAGAGCAAAGCTCCACACTAAACCTCTCTCCCCCCCGTCGCCCGCGCGCTGATTGGCCAGCGGGACAAAAGTTTCTGTGGAGACGGCTGAGCAGCTACGTGACGGACAGAATTGTCCCATTTAGGGATCCCGGGCAGTGCGCATGCTGCAGGCGGCAGCGGGTTACAGAACGCGGGGCAGGCGGGGCGGGGCGGCCAGGCAGCAAGGTGGCGCAGGGAAGCAGAGGCGGCTGCAAGCACATCCTCAGCCAGAGCCAGGTGGGGGGATGCAAGGGGAGGGTTTCCATGGAGATTTCACCGAGTCCCCCCTCCCTTCTACACACACAGCAGATCAGCTGACACATCATTAGCTTAGGACCTAATTATTGCTTATTGGAGCAACAAATGAGAGACAGGGCCAGCTGCAGGAGGCAGAGCGATTTTCCTTTGCACCCGGTGGACTAAGGCAGAGCTCAGCAGTCCCGGGTGGATTCTCATTAACTTGCAGGGTTCCCACAGAAGCGGGAGCAGCAGACCTCAGTCTGGCTGCACCGCCACCCACCCACGTCCCTTCCTGCTTCTTATATTTTTAAAAATGCAAAAGTGGTGAGGGAATATTTTGTCTCCAAAATAAACTGGCCTGTGAACCTGGTGTTAGCCCACAAGCCTGAGTGGCAGCCACATCTGGAGGAGGGCAGTATAGCTAACACATCTGGAGGAGAGACAGCAAATCCCAGCAGTTACCATTTAAAAGGGGACGCAGAGGCCTTTAGTGGATCAGTTTATCCATTTTGAAATAAAAGGAAAATGTTTCTGGTTTTCTTTTCTTCTGTTTGAGTCTCTAGTTCACCCCCAGGAATCAGAGCAGCAGGATAGCTTCCGCCAGTTTGCTTGTCTCATCTTTGGGCAATGTTTCAGAGTAGCAGCCGTGTTAGTCTGTATCCGCAAAAAGAACAGGAGTACTTGTGGCTCCTTAGTCTCTAAGGTGCCACAAGTACTCCTGTTCTTTTTGGGCAATGTAAGACCATCACCAGGAAAATCCTAATTAGTGGGCTTCTCCAGGCATTAGGACATTCTACACCACTCTCT